TTTGGAGGGCGGGGTGGCATTGAGGATGGAGAGGCCAGAAGGCTGTCTGGGGCCGCCCAAGGGCCAGCCGAGAGGGGCAGCGGGCCAAGGATGCTGAGCTTCGGGGGCCATGTCTGGAGGGACCACGGCACAGGCCTGCTCCGTGGTGCTCCGTGCAGGCGCCATCTTAACTCCCCTCACATGTGCCGGGCTCCACAGTCGCCAAGGAGCTCTCCCACCAGTTGTTGGATCTGATTTCCTAACCGCGCAGGGGGGCTGCTTGGTGGACAGATCCAGCAGGGCCGAGCGGAGGGTCCAGGCGTCCGCGGGCAGGGAGCGTGGCAAGCAGGTGGCAGTCCTCATCTGTGACAGCCCAGGCAGGAGCGGACAAGCATGGCTAGACCCAGCGACCGGACAGTAACGGGGGCCGGGCACCACAGCAGAAGGCCCAGGCCGGGCTACGCTCAGATTTCAGGGTGTGGGGAGGGTAGGACTCACAGATGCTGTGCCTCATCACTGAGCTCGTGCACAGCCTGGTAGGTCCCTTTAACCCCATTTCACAGAAAATCAAACTGAGGTCAAGAGACCTGGGTGTGGTCACACAGCCAGCAGCTGTCAGAGCCAGGACTGAACCCAGCTAGTCCGGCGTCAGTCTCTGCTGTTCCTCACATTGCCAGGTCTGCTAACGATGGGAACCGAGTCCTACTGGGCACCCGGGTTGCCTGCGTGCTGCCCCGGGCCCTGCTGCAGCTCTGCTGTGGTCCTGACCACTGCTCAGGAGGCGGCTCTCCCATTCCTCCCCCTGACAGCAGGGGACCCCAGGCCCAGCCCTCAGCCCCTGCACCCAGCACATGGCGCCTCCCGCCTCCACGCAGGTGGCTTGGGGACAATGGTTCCCAGCAGTAGGACCTTGGGCAGGCTTCGTGAGAGAATGTACAGCCCGTGCTCCTGCCCAGGGCACGGCGTGCTGAGCGAGGAGCCGGACAGGGCCCCAGGAATCCATGGGCCCCACGAGGGCTGCTGGGCGTCTGGCCACTGCCGGCTCCGGGCGAGGTCTGGGGCCAAGCCTGGCTGCCTCCCTCCAGGGTCACCCAGGGGTCCCCACTCCTGAAAGCAAAAGCTGAGGCCCCTGCAGCCAGGGCCTCCCCACAGGCTCAGGGTCCCTTGAGCAGGGCGCTGTGCTGCAAGGGAGCCGTGTCCGTCTGCAGCCACCGCTCATCCCCATAGCCTTGGGGGGTCCTGCAAGCGCCAGCGTCGGGCACCTGGATTCCATCTTCCAGATGCTTCACCCCAAAAGCAGAATGAAAATCCCTTCTCCGTTCACAAGCCCCACCCAGTTCACGACTGGGAAAATCCCAAACATGCAGGGAGTGGGGACAGCAAAGGCCTCCCAGAGGCTGCCAGGCTGCCCACCGAGCAGAGCACGGGCGATGCCACTGAGGCGCTTGTGTGTGGCCCCAGGACCGGAGAGGTGGCCTTGGGCCAGCCTGGCTACATTACCCACCCTGGCCCCAGCCTCCCCGCTCCGGGCCAGAAACCCCATCCGCAGCCCACCCCAAGCCTCAGGTCCTTCACCCCACCAGGCACATCAGAGGGAGGGCCCCACGGTCCCCGCACAGTGGTGCAGCCGGCAGGGTGTGTCGGGGCCCCAGGCTCCTGGGCTGCTCTCACCACCCTCTTACCTACTCCCACTCTCCCTCTCCGCTCCCCCATCAGGTCCTTCCCATTCTGGGCCTCACTTTCTCTGGCCAGATCCCAGCTGGTCCTGACTCAGAATGTCAGGGGCAGAGGCCTTCAGGACCCATGGTCACCCCCAGTGAGAAGCCTGAGGCCACAGGGACAAGCGGAGCACCCTCCCCGACACAAATCCCAACCCTGGCCCCAGGTGTCCTCCCTGCTCTGGATGAGACCGGAGCCCTGGTTCTGCCCCAGCTCCAAGCCACACCTGCATCCCTAGGAAGTGGGGTCCTCATCTCCCAGCCGTCAATGCTCCAGCCCTGGCCCGAGGGCAGCAGAGCCCCTGGGAAGGGGGTGAGGTGCGGAGAGGTCAGGTGGCTTCTCTGACCTCACATAGAATGGAAGGTGTGGGCAGGATGGCACCACCTCGGACCCCGGGCACGCCTCTGCCAGTACATGGCCTGGTGGGGCCTGGACAGGTGGGCAGCTGTTACTTCCCATTCTGCAGACAAGAACACTGAGGCCCGGGGCAAAGCCCAAGGCCTCCCATCAGCTCAGCAGCAGAGCATAGCATCAGCCCAGTTCTGGGCCAGGTCCCCAGGCCTCGCCGTTGCCCACCCTGCCTCCCCCGCTGCAGGGGCTGAGCAGTAGAGGCAGGGATAAAGCAGGCAACCGCACAAGAGTAGGCAGCAGGACAGCAATTCCTGGCCCTCATCGCTAGAGAAGGGCTGGAGGCATGGCCCAGCCCAGGGTGGCCAACCCAACCCAGGGCCCTGACTAGGAAGGAAGCTGCCAGCCCGGGACACCCCACTCATCAACAGAGGACTTGGTCACATGGGTGAGCTGCCCCACACGCTGGTTTCCCCTCGTAGGATGGGTCCCTAGAGCCGCCTAAGGAGTTGCAAACACTCAATCCCCAGCCCGAAGCTGCAGCCCATTAGGAGCCCCCAGATGTCGTACCCTCTTCTGCCCACAGCACCCTGCCTCTAGCAAGGGTCACCAGGGGGCAGCTCCCCTCTCCGCCCGCCACCTGCCTCTACTGACCCACAAATTGCTGGGGCCTCCACTCAGTTCCTGAGTCCCGGGATGCAAATACTGACACACTGAGTCCTCAGGAACCTTCTGGAAGGCCTGTTGGCCCTGTCCACCCCTGCATCACTCTGTGGCCCACACAGTGTGCCTGGACAGGCCCAGGGCTTGGAGGGTCCCGGGTCACAGGACCTGCCAGAGGGGTGAGGAAAGTCCCCCAGGGTGGGCGGGGTGGACATCGGTCAGTCTGGGAGTGCAGGGCTCAGGGCCCAGAGGATGAGAAGCTGGGGTTCCCCTGGCCGGCAGAGGGGATCCCACTGGGAGAAGACACATGGCCAGATGGCAGAGGGAAGGCGCCAGCTGGAGCCTCCGCTGGGAAAATGAATTAAAGTTTCAATTAGCACCAGCCTTCCCTGTTGGCTCCAAAGGGCGCCTGGGCCCGGCTGCCCTGCCCCAGCCAGGAGCTAATAACTCAGCCTCCAGTGAACTGGGCAGGGAGACAGCCAGATCCACCTCCTGCATCCGTGTCCTCTGCCTGCCTGCCTGCCTGCCGGGCAGAAGGGAAGCTGGGGCCCCTGGGGGCCCCTCGTCCACCTGGAATCTCATACAGGCAGCTGGAGGTGGGAGGGCACAGTGCCCTTGCCCTGGGGATGGGGTATCCAGAAAGCGAGGAATTGGGGTGCTGGCAGGGAGGGCGGGAAGGCACCAAGACGTCTGATTTCCCCTCACTGCGCTGGGCACTGCGTGGTACTGGGGACCCAGGCCCTGCCCACCAGGATCCCATGGTCACCTGGGGGTGGAGCGAACACAGACACAGAAGGGCCAGCCCGGGGCTCTGTGGCAGCAGTGGACGCCAGCAGCCCCTCTGTGCTCACCGCGGGAGAGCGGCTCAGCGGCTCAGGGTCCCACAGCCCCTCTTCTTGTTCCAGGGGTAAACAGTCCACAGCCCAGAGAGGGCAAGTGACTGGCCTGAGATCACACAGTTCCTGGGGGCCAGGCCAGGACCCCAGAAAGGATGTGTCTCCCCATGCCGAACAAACGCACTGAGGCCTAGGGAGTCACCTAGTTGGGACAGATGGAGCCCTCCCAGGCCCACCCTGTGCCCCGAGAAAGGCTGCCCTCCGGGGGCCTTTCCCAGGGTGAGCTGGCCCAAGTCCCACTCGGCCTTTCTTACTGAGCAAGCTCCACAGAGCAGCCGCCTCAGCCTGCCTCAGGCATAGCTTCCTCCTGCTGCTCTCACCCCCATCTGCGGCCAGGACCCCCGGCCCTTCCGCCAGCACCAGCCGGCCAGACCCGTGGAGCGTGGTTCTCACACAGCCTGCCATGGCCACACACATGGCCAGGGAGCTTGTGACCCTGGCCTGATGAATCAGAATCTCTGGCGGTGCTCACAGGGGTCTGCACTTTAAAATAAGCTCTCTGGGGGTTTTCCCCAAACTTGTATTACTGAGCACATAGATATAGAAATGTGTAAAAGCCATAGATGAGCTGCCTGATGCATTTTTGTGAATTGCACATCTGTTTCATCTACATCCGGGTCAAGCAGTGGAATCTAATAACCCCTTCCAGGGCCCTGCCTCTCCGAGCAGTGCGGGCACCCTGATGTCCACCAACCATCTGTCTTTGAACTGCACGTGTATGAAACTGCCCACACGCTGTGTCTGGCTTGTTCTGCTCCACACTGTGAGGTTCATTCCTTCCCTTCTGTGTGGTGTGGCTCATGTGTTCCCTGACACCATTCCAGCCTCCAGCTGCACCACGCTCCCTGTGCACCCTGCTGTGGGTGGGCAGCAGGCTCTTTCTGGTGTGGGAAATCCAAAAGAAGGCTGCTGGGAAGACCCATCCCTACAACACCTGTGCACCTTCTGAATGGGGACGTGTCTCTGAGTTGTGATGCACACAAAGAGTGTTTAAACTTTTAAAACTTATTACAGAAAAAGACATATTGTCATTAATCCCCATTGACCCCCGCTCCCCAACCTGGAGACACTCATCCCATCCTCCTTGCCACTTTCTGAAGCAGTTCCGGCAGTCCTCGTTCATGAGTGTCTTTAGCTGCTCTGCTGTGGCTGCCTCGATGTCCTGAATCAATTCAAAGCCTTTACCTTTCCTGGTCATGTTGACTCTGGGGAAGAGCTGGGAGTTGCACAGCACCAGATCTGGTGAGTAAGGCGGTGGAAACACACCATAATATCTTCACGAGCCTGCCTCCAGTTAGATGGCGCTCGGCAGCAGCGTTCCCCATATTTTTGATCACACCTCATAAAGACCCTGGAGAAAGAGGACTTCCAGAACTGCTTCAGAAAGCAGCAAGGATGGGATCAGGGTTGCAGGGGGGGGGGCAGGGAGACTCATGACCATGTATCTTTTAGTGTGTGATACATTTTTCAAACATTTCACTCTACAACACCTCATAAGAATGGGATCCTTTGTTGGGCCCAGGCTCAGTGACACCGCTGAACAACTTTCTGGCGAGGCTGTGCCAACGTAGACCTCAAATACTCCCGGTTCGAGCTGGCACACATGCCCAGCAGGTCCTGGCGCCTCTGTCCTCTCCTCGTGGCCACTAGGCCAGGGGCGGTAACATCACCGATGCATCACTCCCATGGCCCCGAGAACTAACTGAACATTTTCTTGGGTTTCCTGGCTACTCGGTCCGTGTGGGCAGCTTCTTTTGAGAAATGCCTGTTCAGATCTTTTGCCATTTTAAAAATCAGATTCTGTCTTTTTCTCACTGATTCATAGTTCGCTATAAAGTTCAACATATATGTACAGTTCTTTATGTATTCTAGTTCTTGTCCATTCTTGGATATATATTGCTAATATCTCCTTCAACTTGGTGTCTTGCCTTTTTACTCCTAATAATGTCTTTTGATAAATGGAGGCTTTAATTTTAAGATAACTGAATAATCAACATTTTTCCTTTGAGGGTCACATCTGCAGTGTGCTGTGCCCAGGTGTCTTCACGCACATAGGATGTCAAGGGTCAGGTGGGGTCCTCGCTACTGCCACCCTCATGACCTTCCTTAGGCACAGGGGCTCCGTGTGCCAAGCACTGGCCCTGCCTCGGGCCCCTCTCACGTGACAGACACCCGTGGCACCTGCCCGGCCTGTGTTCCTACCGTGCCATGTTTGCTGGGAGCATTCCCAGGACCAGTGGCCCAAGGTGTGGCCCAGACCAGACCGGTGCCCAACAGAGGTGCTGGGGGAAGGAGCAGAGCCTTAGCGAGCAGAGCCCATCTCTGTCCTGCAGACCTGGACTGAGACCTTGGGGAGCCAGGAGCTGGGGCTCCGGGAGCACAGAAGGAAGGCACAGTGTGGCCCGAAGCAGACGGAGAGGGGCAGGCAGAGGTTCGAGGGGAAGAGATGAGGGGTGAGTGTGCAGGCTGCCCACTATCACTCCTCCCGGCCGAGTGGAGTGGCCCCTGCATGGTGTCCCTGGGACACACAGCACTGTTCCTGTCCCCCTTGGTCTAATGTGAATCCTGTCATTGACACAGAGCCTCATCTGAGAAATCAGCACCCAAACCCTCGGAGCAATGGCTTCTTTCCTTTCTAGGCAAGAAGAGAGGAAGGCCTGAGAGAGGGAAAATGCTTTCCTAATCGCAAGGCGGCAGAGAAGGGGCTCAAAATCGGCCTCCTTCTCTGTCACGGAGCTGTGCTGATGCTGACGTTTCCCAGAGTGCATTCCGTGAGGCGCTGAGCTCAGGAAATGGGCTCCTTGAAAACTGATCACAAAAGAAGGCGTTTGGTTCCCTGGCCAAGCTCTGGGGCCCATGAAGCAAGGCACTCGCCGCGGCGGGGTTTCCCAGGGCCTGTGGACAGATGTGTCCCAACTGGGATCCACAGCACGCAGTTTCCTTACTTCACTGGGGAGCCCCTGCTTGCATTTGATGGCTGCTTTGGGGAAAATGCACTCAGGGTGTCCCTGGGGGGGGGGTGCCCTGGACAGAGCGCGGAAAGTGTCTTCCGAGGGCACAGGGGCCCTTGTCAGGTATGTGGAGGGGAGAAGTGGGTTCACGTCTCCTTCCTGAGGGTCTGAGCAGCATGCAGCCCCTGTGCCGGGCCCATGCCCCCGAGAAGTCAGTCCTGGCCCAGAGCAACTAAGCTGGCCCAGCTGCAGGCGGAACCGGCCACCATCACTGCAGGACCCTGGGCTCCCCACCCAGAAGGAGGGAGACCCAGAAGGGACAAAAGGACAGGAGGCACCTGGAGAGGAGCTGAGAGAAGGGAAGGGCGGGGATGGAAGTGGAAACGGACAGGCGGCCGAGAGAGCACAGTGTGAAGGTGGCCCGGTGCCACCTACCGGGGAGCTGGCAGCGCTCTTGGGCCCCTCCCCAGCCTGAGGGACCAGGGGGAGAGGGCACAGGGAGCGTGGGGTGTCGCGGGCCACCAGCCCTTGGGGCAGGGCCAGGTCTGAGGGGCCCCACCGCTGCGCTGCTCTGCGCCGAGCTTCTGCAGTACTGGAAGCACGTGGCGGCCACAGGGCAGGTCTGGGACACGGCTGTGGGCAGCAAATGGGGAGGAAGGGAGATGAATCACGGGGAGATGATCAGCAGAGAGGAGCCCAAAAGAGCAGTGGAGAGGAGCCAGGCGGAAGCACACGGCACCACCCCCAGATCTCAGCTCAGCACAGCCCACCCGGGAGACCGGCATGTCGCGACCCCTCCCCGCCCTGCCAGCTGCCACGTGGCTGGTGGGCGGCCCGTCTGCCTAGGAGATCAGCTAGGCAGCCCGCCTGGAGGTGCAGCCCTCCCTCCGCACAAGCCAGCAGTGTGGCTAGGAGGTTGAGAGCATAAATCAATGCGGGTGGAGGAGCCCTTGTGGAAATCACCCAGAGAGGGCGGGCAGCACGAGGGTCCTGGAGACAGCGCCCCACCCCCTGCTTTCTGTCGAGAGGCCATGGCCACCCATCCACGCGGCTGGAAGTGGGCGAGGACCGGAGGATTTCACCGGAAGGGGCCGGCCTCTCAGGCTCCCTCTCCTCTCAGGAAGGACGGTGTGTGTGCCTCGGTCTGTCCCTGATGGGTGGCCCTCAGAGCCCACTCAGACCTGCCGCCCCCAGCCCTCCCTCTCTCAGACACCAGTGTCCCCAGCTTCACGGGCTCTGACCCCAGTGAGTCCTGACTCCCTTAGTACCAGCCACTTCCCGGGGCCTGGCCTGGCAGGGACAGAGGGACAGAAGGACAGGAGATGAGGTCCTGGACCATGGCGGCCAGCACGAGAAAGTGATGTCTCAGCCTGGCCTTCCCTCCTGCTTGGAGGCAGTCACTGTAGATCAGAGGCTGCACTCGGCCGCTTACAGCTGCAATAGCAGAGGGCAGAGGTGAGACAGGGCTCCTGTTTCCCTGGAGAAAAGCCCAGTACCCGGCAGGCCTGGGTGGAGGAGGACAAGGCAGCTCCAAGGCCCTCTGAGCCCAGGTGTGGTAGGGAGAAGGTGCCCAGGCCGCGTGCCAGGGACGGCTCCCCGAAGGAAGAGGCAGGCAGCTGCGTCCTGAGAGACAATGCTGGCCCGGCCATTCGTGCTCAGCAGATTCCCGACACCCTCCACTGTGCTGTCCTCCCCATGGGGAGCTGAGTAGAGCGACAAGACGCAACCAGAAGAAGGCTCGTCCAGAGAGCCAGCACACATGAGTGAGGCAGTCAGGGAGGGCTTCCTGGAGGCGGGAGCCCAAGCAGAGCTTTAAAGGAAAGGAGGGGAGACTCGGACCCAATGGACCCCTCAAGCCCAGTCCTTCCTGGCCCCAGGACCTCTCCTCCTCCAACCGGCCTGGCAGGGTGAGTCCCACCTCTCCCTGTCCCGTTGTTCCATTCATGTCTGCTGTCCTCGCTGAGCTGCGGGCACGAGAGGTTTCTCAACACTGTGTCCCAGCAAATCCCCAGCCAGTGCTTCTGGAAAGAATGCATGAAAATCTGAACGAATGAATGACCCACCCTGACTTTTGTGGCCTGAAAGTGGGATGGGTGAGCCAAACATCATCGGCTCTGCACCCCAGCCGCTCCTCCCCCTTCTCCCCAGCCCCGGGCCTCCTGCAGCTCCTGGTCCGCCTGGCTGGGCACAGCGATCTGGCCCTGACAAGGTGAATTGTGGGTAGAGCCGCTGAACATGCTGCAGCTCCAGCTGCATAAAGAAAGGCTTATGTCTCCTCCTCTCCACATCTGGGCTCAGAGGGAAGAGGAGGAAGGAGCTCACCCGCCCTCTCCCCTTGGATTTGACATTTATCAGGCTACTTCCGGCTTTGTGTTTGCTCACCAGAGGAATTTCACACCTGTCTCCCCAGGGGTGCACATATTTACAAACTGAGAAACAGGCACGAGCCAAAACTTGCATGGCATTAGCAGAAACTGAGGCAGGAAATTGGCTGCTGGAATAACTGGGATTCTAAAGAAAGCAGGGGTTTCCTGCAAGGTAGGAGGAGTCCAGAGAAGACAACGGCCCATCTGGCTGGACTCTGGCTCCTGGAGGTGACACCTGGGACTCCACCCCGGACAGCAGGGGGACAGAGCTGCAGGAAAATTCCTACCACCTGAGAGCCCTGCCTCCAGTGCCAGGGGCCTGGCCCCAGCTTGGGAGAGCTGCATGCTCAGAGTGGGTCGGGCTGGATTTGGAACTGGGGCCTTGAGACCCCCATCTGAGGGCCGAGAGAGCAAAGCTGAGGTCGTGTAGGGACCTTAGCCCGTCCAGGCCCTGCTTATTCGCCCTCTGCCTGTTCCCCTGCCTGGTCCAGAGTATTCAGTGTGATGTCAGGTCTGGCTGCTGGGAGACCACACCATCCCCAGCACCTAGCCTGCTGAGCTATTTATCTACACCGGTCGCTTGCACCCCAGGGCTGGATGTGGGACCTGAACCCAGGCCTGCCCAGCGTGTCCTCTGCTGAGTCGCCCTCCCCAGACAGGAGCCAGGCGCCCCTTGGACTCCAAAGCAGGGATGTGGCCAGGGGGAGGGAAGCCATGGGAATCAGCACAGGGATGCACGGTCCTGTCACCAAGGCTGCATGTGCCCAAGGACCCCAGCACCGGAGCGGCCAGCTGCCCTGGTCCCGGGGCCCTTCGGGACCTGTTAGCCCAGTGCTCAGAGCCCCGACTGCCCCAAGGTGCGTCAGTGTCTTTACCCAGGGCCACCGAAGGGACAGAGAGGACCCACAGGGCCTCCGGGAGCCACTGGTGTGCTGAGCAGGCCAGGCCCCTGCCCCGCCCCTCGGGGATGGCGCCGAGCACAGGCTCTGGGACCAGCTCCCTCTGCCCCAGCAGAGCCCCAGACGTTGCTCCTCTCTGTGCCTCCATCTCCCGGTCTGTAAACACGGGCACATCAGTGGCTCACCTGTGCCTCGGGCCTGAGTGAGCTGGCCCCGAACCTGGCCATCTGCCTGGTCCATTCATGGCCACGCCTGTGCTGCTGCTGTCCCCACCCGCCCAGGGCACAGGTGCTGAGCCTGCCCAGCCTCTAGGGCAAGGAGATCAGGTAGGGCTGCCCACCGTGCTGGCTGCAGGCTCAGAAGTGTAACCCCAGCCTGGCCCGGTATCCCGGTCTGTGGTGGCCTTGGGGACAGGCAGGCAGCCCTGGCTGGGCAACCGGAGACCCTGGACCTCTGCTTGGGCTGGGCCTCTGGGGTACTAGCTTTAGGAAGGTGTGGGGGGCTGGAAATTGACCCTCTCTGAAAGGTGTTCACGTCCCACACCCAGAGCTGTGAATACAACCTCACATCCAAAAGGACGACCTTCACCTTTTATAGCATCAGATGAGACTAAATTCTAGATCTTAAAAGGTTAAATGTATACTGCATCACCTTGGTGGGCCCTAAATGCCATGGAGAGTGTCCTAATAAGAGAGATTAGATGCCCAGAGAGGAGAGACTCGCCCCACGAGGAGCAGGTGACACGCAAACTGAGCAGAGTGAGATGCCACCACAAGCCAAGAAATACTGTCCATCAGCAGGATCTGAGAGAGGCAAGAAAGGATTCTTCTCTGGAGCTTCCAGAGGGAGCCTGGCCCTGCTGACACTTTGACTGTGGACTTCTGGCCTACAAAACTCTGAGGGAATACATTTCTGTCAATTGAAACCACAAAGTTTGTTACAGTATTTGTTCGGGGAGCCCCAGGAAATGAATATAGATGGTGAGTGCTGGAGCACTGGGAGCCACCTTACGGCGTGCGGAGAGGGTGTGCACGAGTCTTTGAAGGAGGGAGACAGTGGGGCAGGGAGCCGGGGAGGGCCCTGAGGGTGCTGGGTCGCCCGAAGGCAGCCTTCCCTGCCTGGTCTGCTCAGCAACACAAACCAGCACCTTCTTCTTCTTAAACCAGTTTGAACCGGTTTTCTGTCACTTGCAACCCAAAGAATTGTTTACTGCCCTCACCCAATAGTTATCATGTGCCTTAAAAACAGTTCAAATCTTTGACCCACCGGTCCCAGCTTTCTGCTCTAAGAAAACAATCTGTATAAGGACAGTCACGGTAGTGAGAAAAATGGAAACAGCGTTTCAGGCCAGGCACTCATAAACCACAGGCATCCTTAGGGGGGAAACTATGTCATGATTACAAACCAGGTTTTCACACTCATTATAAAACGGCAAGGAAAAGCAGGGCATTAAAATAACACATATACACCTATCCATAAATGCATGGGTTTCCGCACAAGGAGGGGATCTCCAGTTTTGAAACTTTTGCTTTAGATTATTTTTGGAGAACCTAAACATGACACATCCTTTTGAAACCCGGTGTGTACATTCCCCCACTTCCCTGAGCAGCCCCTTCCCTCTCCAAAGATAAGGTATTAGTCCCGTGTGTGCTCTGAAATATTCACTGCCCCGCGTGCATCCATAAGCAGTACCTCCCGTCATCGGTACATTTTTACATAGTGATACGCCTCGCAAGGCTGTCTGCCTCTCTGTTCTCTCTCAGCCAGGTGTGTCTGTGCACTCACTCCGCCCTGGTGGCCCTCACTCTAGTCCGTTAATTGTAACCGCTGCCGGGGATTCTGTTCCTGAGCACCCCTTCCCCTGGCGAACACAAGCTGAGAGGACGGACAGCATTTTTGGACTCCAACGTGCTGCCCTTCTCCCGCTTTTCCAGGACCGTGTGAGTCTGCGCCAGGGGCCTGCCCTGGGGGTGCAGTGAGCCCGGGCTCCTGTTCGCGGGGTGCCGCAGCCCCGGGCTCACGGTGCTGGCCCAGGCAGGAGGCGGACTGTGTCTCCCACGCACCCTCTGGGGCTCTTTCCACAAGCACCAGTCCCGTGGGCAGGAGATGCCAACCCTGGAGTGTTGGGTTTGTTTTGCTTTTTGGGTGCTTTGTTTCGTTTTGCTGTGCGGGGACAAAACGTGGGCCCTTTGTACTCAGCCACGTCCCCAGTCCTTCGACTATTTTTTAAATTTCGAGACAGCCCAGGGATCTCCTGCCTCAGCCTCCCAGAGGGCTAGGACTGCAGGCACGTGCTCCTGTCCCCGGCTTCAACAGTGTCCTAACAGCTTTCGCTTTCTCCCCACAGGAACGGAATGCGTCACTCGGGAGGTGGCCTGTCCTCCCGGCCTGGGTCTGGAAGTCTCCGCCGTGGCTCCCCACTTTCCCACCCTCCTCACGTTGCACTGCCAGTTGGTCTAGGCAGAGATCCCGCCTCCCGGGCAGCAGTGATTGGTCCAGATTTAGGCATGTGACCAAAGACAGGCCAATCAAAGCCCTTCCCCGGTGCGATGGTTAGAATCTGGCTTGTGCACTCTGAAATCCTGTTGGAGTTTAATCTGCGCAATGAGGAGGGTCTGCGGGGGAAATGTAATGGATTATGTGTTGCCAGGAGGAGCATCCAGGAGGTGGTAGGGATTGGATAAGGGTATTAAGATGGAACCCCTGTGATTGAATCCTGGGGCTCTATAAGGAGAGAGAGAGAGAGAGAGAGAGAGAGAGCAGGACACACACACGCACACTCACTCACTGTCCAGCCGCACGGTGCTCTGAGCCCCCTCTAAGAAGATAATCTGAGTAAGGACAGTCAGCCTGAGAAGCCATCAGCACATGTGGCCCTTTGGCCTCAGAGCAGAACCGTGAGCATGTAAAATAACCTTCTTCTCTATACCCGCTCGCTGTGTGGTCATCATGCTATTAGTGACAGAAAGTGGCCCGAGACACCTCAGGGTTTAAACTGGAGCTGGAGGAGGGTGGAGGTGGAAGAGAGCCACTCTGTCCTCCTGACCCTGAAGGTGCAAGGACCCCACAGCCAGCCAGACCTTGGGAGGGGAGGTGCGGAAGCTCAGAGGGGCCTGTGGTGAGCAGCTCTGACCTGCAAGAACTGCACAGCCTAGTGGGTGCAGGGGGCGGCCTGGCCAGAAATCTGCCCATGCCAGGGCTGCCAGCCCACAGGGGACACCCTGCCACAGACAAGTCAGTTCCTTCCTTCCTGTACTTTTCATTCATTTATATTCGGGGGGGCGGGTACTGGGGATTGAGCCCACAGCCTTCACACTGACTTATAACCCCAGCCCTCGTTTATTTTTTATTTTGGGACAGGGTCTCCTTAAGTCATTCAGTTGCCCAGGCCGGGATCCAATTTATGATCCTCCTGCCTCAGCCTCCCAGAGTGCTAGGATTACAGGTGAGTGCCACCGAGCCCTGCAGCAGCACTGTGGGAGGGGCTGGCAGGGTCCCCGGGGGGGCTTCCTCACCTCCTCGACTTCTCCCACAGGCTCCCTGGAGGCTGGGCAGAAGGCTCGGCTTAGGGAAGAACTTCAGCCAAATCAATTAGTGCTAAAACCCTTGAGCAAACACAGCTACTTTTGTCATCTTAGAGTGTTCTAACCTGAGCAGCAAAAGAAATTAAATTAAAAACGCAGGACTCCAGGGTCAGAGCCCTAGCCGGTCTTCTTGGTTTTTAATCTCCTATTAAACGATGTATCATCTGATGGCTTTTGTCGGCTTATTCAATGTAATGACCCGGGACACGTGGCCCGCCGAACTCCTCATCCTTCCACATGGCTGGCAGCCAGGGCAGCGACCAGCTTAAAACAGGGACGGGCAGGGCTGGGGACTTAGCTCAGTGGTTCTGCCGCCTACCCCCGCAAGTGCAAGGACCCGAGTCCAATCCCCGGTACCAACAAAACAAAACAAAACAACAAGGATGGGCATGCCGGCCGCAGTCATGGGGAACCCCAGGGGGCCACTGGGGACCTGGGGGGCAGGGCTGAACACAGGGCAGGGCAGGCAGGAGCCCTGGGGCCATCTGGGACCCCTCACATTGCAGAGGAGCCCCCGGGAGCCCCAACAGCACCTTCCCCAGTCACATCAAAGCCAGGCTTGGAACCCAGCTTCCTGGACACCCAGCCCCCCGGAAAGGTACTGGGCCTGGCTCGGGGAGAGTGGCCCTCAGCTCTGCCCTCGTCCTCTGGGTTTATGGACCGCGGCCAGAAGGTGGGATTAGAAGGAGGGTCCATCTGCATCTCTGGGAGATCCTGGGGTGATGGGAGAGACCATTCCCTTGCTGGGGGACCTCCTCGTGCAATGAGGGGACACCTGTCCCCAGGGAGCTCCCAGTGTGGAGACGCCTCCAAGTTCAGATGTGAGTGGCAAAAAAAATTACTTCCATATTGTGGCAGGAACAAGAGAGGGGGCTTGGAGTTGGCACTGGGTTCACCCAGAAGGGCTCCCTGGGGGAGGCTGAGCAGAAGGAGCCATCGCCAGGCAGCTTAGCCAGGGTCAGCTGCAGATGCCAGGCCTGTGCAGAAGGGGCATCCTCAGGAAGGGCCCGGACGCACACACAGGCACGCTTCTAGACATGCCCACACCTGAGCGTACACACTCTCCAGGAGGGGTCTGGTCAGTGCCTGCTGAAGCTCCATGAGTCAGAGAGGCACAGAGGTGGTCTGTGTCTGTCTCACTCCGGCTAAGGCAGTGGGTGGGCGGCAGCTGCATTACTCAGCAGGCTCTGTGGGCAGCAGATTGCTCCCACTTGTGTCGTAGGGTCCCCTGCCTGCTTACCCCTGTCCTCTGTGACACCATCACCGTCTCCATCTCCTGTCACTCAGCCCTGCTGAGCGTGGAGCCCAGGGCCTCGGGATCCGAAGAAAACCTCACATCCCTTCTCCTGCTGGGTAGTTATGAGCTACAACACCCTCAGAATGCGACCTGCATGGTGCCATAGTGCATCCGTTCATCAGTGGCATTTTCCTTTCATGGAAACTGCGTGAGGGGTCCTTCCAAACTCAGCACTGTCTCAGCATCGGTGAGCCGGGCCCTTTGTGTCACTTGGGGGCTCCCTCCTCTCCCCAGGACAGGGAACCTGGCCACCGCTTGCCTCTGGCCTCCCTCCACAGCCCCAGAATCCGGCCCCCGTCCTCCGCAGGCAGTGAAGATGAGAACCACCCTGCAGCCAAACCGGAAACTGCTTTTGGAGAACAGGGCAGACGTCAGCTCCAGAGGCCGGAGATCGCCCCAGCTGCACCCTCCTCTGAGGCCTTGAAAGCATCTTTGGGCCTGGCACAAGGTGAGGGAGACATGAGAAGCCTGGGGATTTGGGAAGAAAATACCGAGCTGGAGGGAGGCCAGAGCGCTGAGCTCCTGGCACTGCGGAGCCGGGGTTGGACACCCTGGGCCGAGCACCCTAGGACTCGGCACCCTCTCTGCTCCCTGGAGGCCCGGTGAGCTGTATCCTCCCCTACCCGACTCCCAGGAGGAGTGACAGGAGGACGACACTGGGACAGGCGTGAGCAGTGTCCCAAGGGGACAGCAGATGCTGAGGAGGCCATGCAGACCAAACCACCCTGTGGGCCAGGGCCAGGGGCCCCCAACCCAAGCCAGAAGCCCACAGCAAGGGCTGTGGAAGTGCTGTCTGCAGGAGGAGGAGAGGAGAGCAAGGCTCCCTGCAGCCCAGGCCTGATGTCCTCGTTCCACACTGCACAAATTCGTGCTGAGTGCCCACTGCAGGCCAGAGGTGGAGCTGGGCGCTGGGGATGTGGCAGGGACACACGCAGGCAAAACCTTCTCCTCTCAAGGACTCCACCTTCCAGTGGGGAAGACATCTATTAAACAACGACAGTGGTGCTGCTTCCGGGCCTTCCGGTCAGGATCAAGTGTGGAAGGACAGCAGCACTAGGAGCCAGAGAAACACAGCCAGGTAAGGGGCTGGGAGGGCCGGGAAGACTGCCATAGAGACAGGCCAGTTTGAGCGGACCTAAATGACGAGAGGCAGGGAGCAGGTGGGTTTCCACGGGCAGCACCTCCAGGCTCAGCTGGCACAGGTGAAAAGCCCCGGGAGGAGTGGACTTGGGATGGTCCAGGACTAACATGAAGGGCAGGAGTAACCTAGGCATCGTGCCGCACGCCTGTGATCCCAGAACAAGGGAGGCTGAGGCAGGAGGATCGCCATGAGTTCAAGGCCAGCCTGGGCTACAGAGTGAGACCCTGTCTCAAAAAAAATAAGGGCAGGAGCTGGAGTGGGAGGCAGAGAGAGGCTCCGGGGGAGGTGCGGGAAGGGAGGACAGCGGCATCAGGGCCTGGTGGCTTTCCGGGCCACGGGAGGGAGTTTGGCCCACTGAGTAAAGAAGAAGCTGCTGGGTTGAGCAGAGGTACAATCTGAGGCGTTAGCGGGACAGGCGGCAGGGGTGGGGGCAGGAGGAGAGGCCCCTCCCGCCAGGAGGCCGCTGCTGTCTCCCAGCCAGAGGAAGCTGGTGCCTCATTCAGCGGGTGGGCAGATGAGATCTGCGGACCGACCAGAGCCAGCGTGGGTTCTGGGTCCCATCCCGGGACCTCAGAATGACACTCATTGGCTGGCTCATGAACCTGCAGATCCGGGCAGGGCCCGGGCAGGGCTCTTCCCTGCTCCGAAGGATGTTGGGGACCCCCCTGGAGGTGGTGGGGCACCTGCAGCAGCTCTGGGGCTCAGCCCAGCCCAGGGCTGTGGCCTCTGCGTCTGTATCCAGCCCTCTGGGCCTTGGCCTTTCCACCCTGTAGCAGGCGGTGTCCAGGGTCAAGCGTTCCAGGAAACCCAGGGCAGCTAGGAGGCCCTGTGACCGAGCTCTGGATGTCCCAGCGTGTCACTTCTGCCACCTTTGGTTTGTCGAGAGTGGCCGAGGTCAGCCCACCCCAGGGCGGGGAGCGGACCCCCACACTCACAGTGCATGGGTTTGTGGGCACCAGCAGTGCGCGTGGCTGTGGGAGAGGGCTGTCCGGGTGACTCCAGGATGCCTGGCCTGGTGCGTGCTGTGGCAGGTGCTGCCTTGCCCTGGCCCCTCCCCTGCTGGGAAAGGACCTGCTCCTTCCCACCTGTCAGGTAAAGGGTCTGCCTTGGAAGACAGCTGTCCCTCCAAGCCTGGACCACTCAGCCCCAGGGCGGAGCCCCCTTCCTGTGGTCCCATGGCACCAGCGTCCTTCCCCACCCAAGGAGCCCCAGGCAGCTGCACTGGGGGGCACTGCTGGAGGCTCCCACCCTTGATCCTTCCTGCCTCTGCCTCCAGGCTGGACTCAGATGTGCCCATCCCTGCACAGGGTCCCGGTGCCAGGCCAGAGCTGCCCCTGGGAACGAACATTATGGAAAGAGGCAGCCAGGCCAGCCTGCTAATACCAGGTTGTGGTTTCCAGACTTCCCCAACCCTGTCTTTATCAGAGCATCTCCACGCTTCTGCCAAGCCCTTGCCCACTGCTACCACCCCTCTGCATCAGGCAGCCTGGGTGGGGACTCTGCCGTCCCTTCCCTGGAGCAGGAGAGGCAGGAGAGTCACTTCTGGAGCCAGTGAACACCCAGCTCCGACCCTGCACTCCTGGGGTGGCTGACGTTGGCATGGGAGCATCACCCAGAAAGCAGCACAAACTCTCAAGTGCCCACAAACCTCCTGGGGTGTAGGTGAAGCATCCAACCTGAGTCAGCCTGCATAGACCCTGATTCTGCCTTCCTGACCAGCTCCCAGTCACACGGGGGCTACTGCTCCACAGAGCAAGGCTCTGGTCTGGCCCGGGGCCCCTAGGGGAACCCCCCCAGGGCCCCACCACAGAGGACATGAGCAGCAGCCATGGTTCATTGAGCACCTGGGATGGCCCTGTTAGGAGAGGTCTGCTCCATCCTCCTTCTCCCTGGGTCTCTGTTTGCTCATCTGCAAAAGGCAGAGAGGCCTGGGGAGCGGGGAGGGGACTTGCAGGGAGAGGGAGGAAGGAAGGTGGCTTCGAAGGAAGCCAGGTGACAAGGGACTTGGCGGGAAGTGGCTGAGGCGGGGGCAGGACAGGGCGAGGGCACAGGAGGGAGCCCCCGGACCCCACATCTCTCACCCATCCTGAGCCGGGCACCGGGCAGAGACGACAGCCACCTGCAGCCCTCCTGGGACGCGTCCTGCCTTTGCATTTACGAGGAATAAGTAGAAAAATGACCGCGGGACGCACACTACCGTCTTTTTTTAAGCAGCTGCAGCCAAAATGTCACCACTGGGAGCATAAAAGCCTCTCGGGCAGGTGAGTGACAGCCTGGCCACCTGCATCAGGCCCGGCCACCCAGGGCACTGCTCCTGTCCGAATCGCCCAGGCCCTGCGGCCAGGGTGGCCTGTAATGGGGACGGGCCGAGATGCACAGCGAGCGGCCGCCTTGGTCCGTCTGACACAAAATCCAGGCTGCACGCAGCTTGGGCAGTGCCTCCCACCTGCTCGACGACTCAGCCCCAGTGGGGAAACCAAGGCACCGGAATATTCTCAATTCCGCCCGACCACAGACCTACTCAGCCCCCACCCACTCAGGGGCTCGCAGGGACTGGCATCCTGGGGTCCTAGAATGACCTCCCAGGGGACAAGAGGGACACCCATCTGTGCCTCTCCCCAGTCCGCCACCCAAATCCAAGCTTCTTGTCTTGGTTTTTGCCCCCAACAGCTCTTTGTCAGGCAAGGCTGGCCGTGGGGGGGGGGGGGCATGGAGGAAACAGGGATAGTG